AACTAGATAATTAAATTCTAAAACAAATGAAATAAAGACAGCAATTAATCAGTAAGAGCAGAAAACATAAGCTGAAGAAATGCTTGAATTGATAGATGGAAACTTGTTATACCTAAATATATGGTGAAAATATAGAATTTTATGGATAAAATTTTTTAAAATCCTAAAAACATCTGAGCAGAGGGGGTAAAAGGTTATCTTCACTGAAGCATTATATAAGGAAGCTTTTTTAAGATAGAAAATATAAACTTTATAGTTAAATTCTCCTATTAAAAGATGAAGACTCTACTCTCAGGATGACTTTAGAACTAAAAACTATATTCAGTGTCCAAGAGAAATATTCAAAGTGGCAAATAAAAGTTAAAATAATAAGAGTTGCTAATATTTATTAAGGACTTAAAGTATGCCAGGCATTGTGCTAAGTACGTTATTTGTATTTATCCAATCTGCATAAAAACCAAATAAGGTAGGTTCTGATATTATCCCCACTTGACAAATGAAGCAAATAAAGCACAGAGAGGTTAAGTAACTTGCCCAAAGTCACACAGCAGACAGAGTTGCCAGGATTTCAACCCATGCAGCCTGGATCCAGTGCCCAGCCAGTTGAACTATCACTCTAAATTAACTGTCCTTGAAGTAAAAAAGGCAGCACAGTTAGGCAAATCCAAACAAATGAACAACAACAATAGAGTGTCCGTGATAGTACTTTTAGTCATTAAAAGGAGAAAAGACGGTAATTTCTCAATGATGAAAGATACAATTTATAATCAAGAAAAAGAAATACCCAGCCCAGGGGTACCCAAACTTTGCAGTCCCTCCTCCATAAAAGATGTTCAGGAAGCAGCTGTAGAAGGAATGAATAAATGAATGAATGAGCTAATAAGGAAGTAGACAAAGATCAGGCATGAATCCTTATGTACTGAATTTAAAAAATGATAAAACACCTAAAAATAAAAGGAAGCAGACAGGGGGACAGTAGCAAAAAATAGGTACAATTAGTTCTGCTATAAAGGCTTGTTTCAAAAACAAAAATTTGTCCCAAAGTGACTAATTATATTAGGGAGAAAATTTTGCACTGCTCATGTGAAATTTCGCCCCTGAGAAACAGCAGATGAAGGCAGAAAACTGCACCCAGGTGAACTGAGCCAGTTAGGAACACACAAGACACAGGCACACACCTCGAAGATCTACCAGCTACCTCAGTTCACTGCCTGTGCGCACAGCAGGTCTCGTGAGCCACTCCCATCCACACACGCTGGAAGACTTTTTGTCAGATTTCCCATAACCCCCCTTCCACCATTTTGCAACAACTCGCGATCTGCAGCCTTTCTGACGCCTGCTTCCAAAAGCAAACTTTAGGTCTTTTTCAAGGTAAACTGACATATGTATTGTAGCATTTATGTCTTTATTAACCATTTAACCTGTGTCAAACGGTACTAGGATCTTTACAAGGTTCCCATCTTTTTCACGTGCGTCACTAATGAAGTTATTGAATGCTGTGCCCTAATCTCATTTCTTCCATAAACTTTGTTTTTTATTGAACAATTCTGCATAATACAGTGGTTTTTAGGAAGAAGTATGCAGCATTACAGCAGAATTGACTATACACATAGGAAAACAGAAATTGTAAAATACTGAATTAGCAGACACCCATCAAACTCTGTGTGCTACAAATACCTTCTTTTTAAGGACCAGCAGAAGGTTCATTCAGTGATCACATATTAAGTTACAAAGAAAACCTGAAAAAATTCTGAAGAATAAAAATTGCACAGTCCATACTCTCCGACTATAAAACATTAAAACTAGCTTTTCACATCTAAAGTATAACTGGGGAAAAAAAGCACTTGGATACTGAAAATTTTCCTAACATACTCAAGTCAAAGAGTAAAACAATAAGTACATTTACAGAATGTTTAGGAAAAAATCCAATAATGAAAAAATAACATAAAAATGTGAAAGCTAGTTAGAGCAGTGCTAAAAGGCAAATACATCGATGGAGACACGCTCCTTATTAAAATAAATGCACTGGCCCATTTAGCATCACTAAGAGTAAGCAGAAGGAATTAGTCAAGATAAAAGCAGAAAGGTCGAGAGTAAAAACCAGTAAAATATAAACAGTTTTTTGGGGGTGAGAGGGGGTGCAAAAACCAACAAAAATAATAAAAGCTTCAGAAGATCTAATCAAGATGAAGAAAAAAATCAGATTCCCAAAAGGAATAAGAAAGCAAAAAAACCCCACAATTGTGACAAAATCTGAACAATTTAAGTTAAATCTCCATAATATTATAATTTAAGAAAATGTGGGAGCCGGCCCTGTGGCTGAGTGGTTAAGTTCACACGCTCCGCTTTGGCCACCCAGGGTTTCACAGGTTCGGATCCTGGGCGCAGACATGGCACCGCCCATCAGGCCATGTTGAGGTGGCATCCCACATGCCACAACTAGAAGGACCCACAGCTAAAAAAAATACTCAACTATGTACCAGGGGAATTTGGGAAGAAAAAGTAGGAAAAAGAAAAAAAAGATTGGCAACAGTTGTTAGCTCAGGTGCCAATCTTTAAAAAAAGAAAATGCGAAACATTATTTGTACTTAAGGAGTAACGTCAGATCTAGACAGATAAAAAATATTTTTTTAATCTTTAAACTTTGTTAAAAAATTAATATAAGACAAACATCAGTTCCACAGGGTTTTACAGGACAGTTCTTAATTTTTAAAAGGTTGCAAACTAGGAGGCAGCTCAATCTAAACCAAGGATTCTGTTTGGCTCTATGTGTGTGCCAATCTAAATTAGATGCTAACACTTCCATTTAAAAAGTCAAGATATTTTACGTAACATTTTAGAATTCCAGCTTGTCTTGAATAATTGGAGGAATACTCTGACAACTCAGGTTCCTATGGCCACACCTGGCTGGAGTGGAAGGGTGGTACCCCTTTGGGTGTGGCAGTTACTCTTGGTTCATCCCACTACCCCCAGAGCCGGCAGCTATGGCAGGTTCCTGGCCAGTCTTGTAAGCATGCTATCCAGAAGTGTGCTGGCAGGAAAGAAAAAGGTCTGATGGATAATGATGGAAAACCAATTCTGCCCAAATTACCTTTAAATGTCTGTGTCAGTTTCCATCAAAATTCTGTTTTCTTGATAGGATAGGAAGAATTTAACAAAGTAATTCTAAAGCTTTTTGGGAAAATTAAGCGGTCATTCATTAAAAGGATTTTTCGATAAAGGAAGAGAAGGAGAGATTTAAACTGTCAGTTAATGAAGCATATCATTAAGCTGCAACAATTATAGTCAAACAGAAAAGTCCATGAAAAAGGTCAGAAAGCTCAGAAATCAATGCATATTTAAATACAATAAAGATGACACTTCAGATCAGTAGAAAAAGACAGACTACTTTAATCTTAGGGATGCAGCACAGCACAGCGTGTGAGGGAACAGCCTGTGGGGCTGGACAGGCTGTACTGGATGGCTGACCAGCATGGCACATCCCAGCTGGGTGACCCTGGATGACTTAGTGTCCTTATCTGTAAAATGAGGATAGTCACTGTTCCTACTTCACAGGATTGTTGCGAGGATTATCAGTTACCACTGTAAAGTGCTTAGAACAGTTAAGTACTGAATATGTGACATTAAATAAATAAAAGAAAGTGATTCATGCTAAGATAATCCCTGAACTTCTGGGAGCAGGGGGGAAGGAGACATGGGGAACAAAATCTCCCACCATGCCACATTAAAAAAATACATTTCAGGATTTAAAAAAGTGAACAGGGGCCGGCCCCATGGCAGAGGGGTTAAAGTTCTGGGCACTCTGCTTTGGAAGCCGGGTTTGCAGGTTCAGATCCTGGGTGCAGACCTACTCCACTCATCAGCCATTCCGTGGAGGCACCACAAATACAAAGTGGAGGAAGAGTGACACAGATGTTAGCTCAGGGCAAATCTTCCACACCGAAAAAAAAGTGAACAATAAAAAATGAAACTAAGGGGGGCCAGCCCCATGACCAAGTGGTTAAGTTTGTGCACTCTGCTTCGGCAGCCCAGGGTTTTGCCAGTTCGGATCCTGGGCACGGACATGGCACTGCTCATCAAGCCCTGCTGAGGAGGCATACCACATGCCACAACTAGAAGGCCCCACAACTAAAAAAATATATACAACTATGTACCGGGGGCCTTTGGGGAGAAAAAAGAAAAATAAAAAAAATGAAATGGGGAAAAAGGACTATTTATCTGATCTCTAGATTAGGGAAAACCTTTTAAAATATGACTGTAAGGTCAATATCAAGAAAACAGATTAATACATTTGACTACATAAAAATGTTAAAAGTCTGGGGGCCAGGCCCATGGCATAGTGGTTAAGTTCAGCATGTTTCACTTCATTGGCTCAGTTCATGGGTTTGGATTTCAGGTGCATGTTAAAAGTCTATATAGCAAGCACCAATAATTAAGCAGAAAATAAAAATTTGAGAAAAATAAGGGTTGATGTGTATAAATCTTCTTACAAATCAGTAAGAAAAAGTACACAGTCAAGCAATTCACAAAAACCTTTGTATACACGAGAAAACATGCAACATTATCACTAATCAAAAATGTAAGTTAAAATATTTTTCAACCATCAAATTGGTCAAAGTTTTAGAAAAAATTATATTGTTGGCCAATAGGCAGAAAAATTGGTACATTTCTACATGGAAGACTGAAGAATACACTGAAATAACCTTTCCAGGGGTCACTTTGACTATATACTTCAAAAAACCTTTAAAATATTAAGCCCTTTTGACTTAGTAATTCCATTTCTGGGACAAAGTTAGAACATAAGAATTTCAATGGGAAAGTTTAAAGTCACTTTTTCAGAGATCAACCACAATCAAGTAAGTAAAAAAGAATGTGAAGAAACATCTTAAGTTTCAAACATAAAGCTAAGAATTTTCACTTTCTAAAAATTCAACATTTCTTTCACTGTGAAATTAATGTTTAATTTTACCAAATTTCAAAAAAATAATTTAAAAACAAACCTTTTAACAGCATCCTTCTTCTGACTATCTATAGTATCCCACCACCTTGAAAAGTAAGAGATCTCGGGCCATATAAATGTCCTCCGTGAGTCTTCACTCAGCTTGACGACCATGTTATTAAGAATAAACCGAGTCTTCTCTCTAAAGTAGTCCTCAAAAGTCTTCAACCAACCTGAATCAAGACACAAGCACACCACAAAGGTCTGATTCATATGTCTGATTTCCACTTAGTCACATTCTATTGTATTACCTTTGGAAACCCTTAGATGTTTCATTCACATAAAGACATATTTAAAAATTTAACAAACGTTTTCAATTAATGAAATTCCATTTGAATGGACAAAAGACTCAAAAATCACTAACATTGAAATGAGAAAAATAAGAAAGATGACCTAAGGTCAAAAAGCATTTATTTAATATTTAGCAATGACAGTATCTAATTCAATTATTTATAATTTATCTCTAATTTAAAGAATTTTTTTTCATTTTAAAAATCTGAACATTGTTAACACTTTGGCAGGACTATTCTCACAGTATGAGATCAAATTCTCATCCTCTCATGCCACATCTAAAGGTCCACCCCCTCAGCCATTAAGCAAGTTAAACTAAGAAAAAGAAAACCACAAGTATAAACCATATCTAAAAGCCAGCAGCAGAGCAAGAAGGTAATTACAGCACAATTATGAACATTGAAAAGTAGAATTCCGCCAAAAATAGGCATTAGTTTCCAAAGCCCGTTGATTATTCCAGTCTTTGGAAGCACAAATTGACAATAATCAAATAACAAACGTGTCTACACCCATGTAAAGTTTTTTCAAAAGAGAATTGTAGATGCTGACAACTTCGTTCTCTAACTTTTTCTACTACTTCCCAAACATCCTGGAAATTTTATCTAAAGACACTTGTAATTTGGTTATAAGAAACATTTTTAATGAGACTCGTAGGTACAAACATCACCCCATCTGGCAGAGTACTAAAGCAACATGATGACTGGCTGAGGCAAAAACGTGCACAGCCGCCAGTTCCACCTACTGGTGGGAGGCAAAGTAGACCCTCTGGAGAATAACTTCTCATCTATGCAATCTTACAGGGAAGGGAGTTTGTATACATCCAGGCTGAACTGCTCTATTGTTTCCATATATGAAACATATGAGAGGACTAAAATATAAGAGGTCCAACTGGCTATTTCTTCTGTCCGTCTATGATTAAGTATAATTTAATGTATACTAGATCTGCTGACAAAAATCTGGTAGGGCACAGAAGACAATATAACTACTGTGACAATGCAAATATGAGCTTCTGAAAAGGGAACTGCCATGGTGACTGTATTTCTCCCTTTTGCTTTAACTGAAATCTCTCATTCGTTCTATGCTTATTCACTAAGCACCTACAAGGTGATAGGTATGAATCTATGAGCCAGACAGGAATACAGTGTAAAATATTCTTTATGGGACTTTCTTGATCTGGGGCACATTTAAGCTGGTGTGTCACCAAGGAATGCTATCTGGATAAGGCAAGTTTTCCATGTTAAATAAAAAGCCTGCACCTATAGAAAACTCAAAGATATCTCATGAAATAGTGCTTTGCAAAGACTCCCACCTTGCTTTACAAAGGTACAAACCTGGATCCCTGCCTCAGAGCAGAGCCAGGACACACATTTGGATTCCCAGGGACAAGCAAAGAAAATCCAACCTACCCTTTAATGAGGATGCCCTATCTCGCTGCTGACCATGCCAATACCCCTGAGATTAAGAAAGCATCAAGGAGAGTACAGTCACCATCAGGGGGAATGAACTTGCCCAGGACTCTCTCCCCTCCAACATACCATGAAAAGGGGCATCCATACTCCCACAGAGGACATCCTAACACAACATAAAAACATTGAAGACACAGGCAGCCATGAGATGGAGAGCAAAGGGGCTGGAGTCCCCCTCGGAGGAGCTGGAACAGGGTAAGAGATAACTTCGCTCCCTCCCATAAAGACTGTGATCCCAGATGGTGGGAGGCTCCATGAGGGAAGGAACAGGGGAGGGGAAGTTCGTTCATGGGAACATCAAAGACCCCCAAGGGCCAGCAGAGGCTGGAGGGAAGACCTCTACTGGGGTGAGAGCGTTCACGGGGGGTGACCTCATCAAGCCAACACCCCAGGAGACTAGATATAGGGAGAGTAGAGCAAGAAAGCCCGGACAGCACACAGGAGAAAGCGTCCCTCCCACAACCCACCTCACACCTGCTCCACTGCCTAGAATCTCGGCTGAAGGCAGGGGGCTCAGAATATGCAGCTCTTGACCCCCACCCAGCGGCGATAGGCAGTAACTGCAACCAAATAACATCAGGATGCATAAGATCCAACCCACCTCCTCTAGCAATATTAAACACTGTATCAAATCTCCAGATCAGAGAGAAAACAACAAGTACCCAGAATTCAGTCCTGAGGACACAGAAATACGTAATCTAAATGACAATGAATTCAAGATAGCTATCACCAAAAAACTGAATGAGGTAAAAGAGAATGTAGAGAAACAATTCAACGAGTTCAGGAGCTACTTCACAAAAGAGATTGAAACTATAAAGAAGAACCAATCAGAAATATTAGAGATGAAAGACACAATGGAAGAGATAAAATAAAATATGGATTCCCTGAACACTCGAGAGGACATAACAGAGGAGCATATCAACATAATTGAAGATAGACATGTTGAAATGCTCCAGACAGAGGAAAGAGAACTAAGACTAAAAAGAAATGAAGAAAGTCTCCGAGAAATATCCAACTCAATTAGGAAATGCAACATAAGAATTATAGGTATTCAAGAAGGAGAAGAGAAGGAAAATGGAGCAGAAAGTGTGTTCAAAGAAATAACAGCAGAGAACTTCCCAAACCTAGGGAAAGAGAGGGAAATCTGTATGGAAGATGCTTCCAGATCTCCTAGATATGTCAATGTAAAAAGACCTACTGCAAGGTATATAGTAGTAAAACTCGCAAAAATGAATGACAAAGAAAGAATACTAAGGGCAGCAAGGCTTAAGAAAATAACCTACAAAGGAACCTCTATCAGGCTTTCAGTGGATTTCTCTGCAGAAACCTTACAAGCTAGGAGAGAATGTAATGACAAATTCAAATATTTAAAAGACAAAAATTTTCAGCCAAGAATATTCTATCCAGCAAAAATATCCTTCAGATATGAGGGAAAAATAAAAACTTTCCCAGACAAACAAAAGCTAAGGGAGTTTGTAGCCATGAGACACCCCCTACAAGAAATCCTCAAGAAGTCCCTCATATCTGAAAAAAAATAAGAGAGAAAGGGGTCACAAAACACAGAGTAAAGAGATAAACAGGTAGACAGAATCAGAAGAAGAAGCAAATACTGAAGTATAGCATTAAGCTAAAGGGAAGGAAAACACCAAAAACAAAGATAATCCCATTATTTAACCACAAACTCACAACACAAGTTGGAATAAGAGATGGGAAAAACAACTTAGGAGGGGAGGAGGAAAGAGACTGAATCAGTTTAGATTAAGGCAGTAAGAGGCCATCAATAAATGGACTATCTTATACATGAGATTCTGAATACAAACCTCAGGGTAGCCACTAAACAAATAAGCAGAACAGAGACACAAAGAATAAATAAGGAGAAAACAAAGGAACACATCATAAAAAACTACATAATTCAATGGGCAGACTAAAACATACAGGATGAGAAACAAAGGAAATGCAGGAAAATAGGAAAACAAGTGATGAAATGACAGCATTAAGCCCTGATACATCAATAATCACCCTAAACGTAAATGGATTGAATTTTCCAATAAAAAGACACAGAGTGGCAAGATGGATTAAAGAACAAGACCCAAAAATATGCTGCCTCCAGGAAACATATCTCAGCTGCAATGACAAACACAGGCTCAGAGTGAAGGGATGGAAGATGATACTCCAAGCTAATGGCAAACAAAAGAAAGCAGGTGTCACACTACTTCTATCAGACAAAGTAGACTTCAAGATAAGACAAAGAGAGACAAAGAGGGGCAGTATATAATGAAAAAGGGACACTCCATCAAGCAGAAATAACACTTATAAATATCTATGCACCCAAAAGAGGAGCACAAAAATTCATAAAGCAACTACTAATAATCCTAAAAGAAGACATTAATAATAACATAATAATAGTAGGGGACCTCAACATTCCACTCACATCAATGGATAGATCATCCAGACAGAAAATCAACAAGGAAACAGTGGAATTAAGTGAAAAGCTAAACCAGCTGGACTTAGTAGACATATACAGAACACTCCATCCAAAAACAGCAGAATACACATTCTTCTCAAGCGCACATGGAACATTCTCAAGGATAGACCATATGTTGGGAAACAAGGCAAGTTTCAATTAATTTAAGAAAATTGAAATAATAACAAGCATCTTTTCTGATCATAATGCTTTAAAGCTAGAAATTAATTACAAGAAAAAAGCTGAGAAAGGAACAAAGATGTGGAGACTAAACAACATGCTACTGAACAAGCAATGGATCATTGCAGAAATTAAAGGAGAAATCCAAAAATATCTGGAGACAAGTGAAAATGGTAACATACCATACCAACTCATATGGGATGCAGCAAAAGCTGTATTAAGAGGGAAATTCATTGCAATACAGGCACATCTTAATGAACAAGAAAAATCCCAAATAAGCAATCTCAAATTACACCTAACTGAATTAGAAAAGGAAGAACAAAGCCCAAAGTCAGCAGAAGGAGAGAAATAATAAAAATCAGAGCAGAAATAAAAGCTATCGAAACAAAAAAGGAAGTAGAAAGAATCAATAAAACAAAGAGCTGATTCTTTGAGGAGATCAGTAAAATTGACAAACCCCTAGCCAGACTGACAAAGAAAAAAAGAGAGAAAGCTCAGATAAACAAAATTAGAAATGAAAGAGGAGAAATAACATGAGACACCACAAAAATACAACAGATTATAAGAGAATACTATGAAAAATGAAATGCCAAGAAAAGGGATAATCTACAGGAAATGGATAAATTCTTAGACTCTAACAACCTCCCAAATCTGAATCAAGAAAAAAGAGATAGGGGGCTGGCCCTGTGGCGGAGTAGTTAAGTTCACACGCTCCACTGCAGGCAGCCCAGTGTTTCGTTGGTTCGAATCCTGGGCGCAGACATGGCACTGC